GAGCTCTGCTAAGGTACAATTTGTGGCAAATTGTCCCCCACTCCCAGGCATGTAATTTGAAGTCTCCAGCTGGTTAAGGACAATGATTCCAGCGTGCTCTCTGTTCCTTAGAGCACAGTTTAAGCTGGGCTCTCCACTGGGCAGGCTCTTTGGTTTCCACTCCAGCCTGCCTCACACTCTGAGCCTTTGGGTAAGAATTTTGCACTCCTTGTCTCGGCCCCACACTGGAAGGAAAGGAAACAATCTACAAATGGCAGAGGTGTCTGGAACCAGAATTGACTTTTGTGAGTACTAAAGACTGAATGTTACACACACAGCTGAGTACTTAGCTGAAGTAACTTACAAGAGAGCATCCTTCACTCATGGAACTAACACATCAACTACCACCCTTCTCTACTAGCTTTTCTCGGTGTTATAAGTTGAAACAAAACTACATTTAACAAGAATGGCCATAAACGTGGTTGATCCCCTTAAGAGCAGTGGCCATATGTAAGGCTGACCTTGAACTTGCTCGGAAGCCAAGGATGGCCTTGAACTCCTGGTCCTCCCAAGGGCTGGGATTGCAGAGCAATGTCCATATCAACACAAACTTTCTGGCCTGTTTATCATATGCTAGAAACTGAATAAATACAAAAAGCCCTTCGCTTAATTCTCCTGTGGTAAAGTGGGTTGTGGTATCATCGTCAATGCCTTTTGGAAGAAAACTAGAAATATAGTAGAAGATTGGGATGAGATGTTTGAAAGCATCTCCTTGCTGTCGAGGCACAATCGTGACCACATAAAACATAGAGAGAAGGAAACCCAGAGCCGAGCCCAACCCTCTGTATATTGCTTTCTTCCCCGTGGTCATTCCTGTCTTTTGGCTTAGGCAAAAAGGCCAAAAAATAATGCAAGTGGCTGACACAGAAAACAGAAATACCCTGGGGCTGGAAACACAAAAATTAGAGTTTGAGGCTGCGGTGGTAGCCAGAATTTGAGAGATTAAGATCTCTAATTTCAGAGCATTCGGCCCTAAATGGGAGGTCTATATCAAACTCCTTCTCTCAAGCATCAGGGATCTGTGTGGAAGAGGAGACAGAAGGGTACAAGAGCCAGAGGTTGGTAGGTAGCTCCAAGTAGACTCTGTTTTCCAGACCTAACAGAGCAGCTACACCTATGAAATCACAGAGACTATAATAACACACACAAGACCTTTACAAATTCAAGGCAAACAAAATTCTAGCAAGGAGAGGAAGATGTGGACACAAAGTTCCCACCCTAACCAAGAAGCTATTTGTAATTTTCTACCTGCTGTGGAAGGGAAAATAATTTTTTTCTCCAATGGAGTATCACAAAGTATATCTACCATACTGCATGGAAGGTCCCATGCTCAGGAATAATCACCTAACACAAAATGGATTCTATGTTTTTGTCATGGTTCCATAGGTTTTTGTCTTGGGATTTGTTTTGTTTACGTGTTTGTTTTAATTTTGGAGTTGTTGGGTTCTTTTGACAGTGAGGAAAAGAACATGAAGTTGGTTGAGTGAGGAAGTAGGAAAAAAGGAAAGAATATGATCAAAACATGAAAACTTTAAAATGAATTTTTTTTAAATGATGTATAAGTTGTATAAGAAAGAAAAAGAGCTGTAAGAGAAGAGAAACTCAAAAGAACGAAGCTGAGTCTAGGCACCCGGTTCCCTTTTTGAAGTACTTGTTAATAAACCAAGGAAAGAGGTTGGGAAACCAGGACAGGTTTCAGTAGTCTGTGTTCCTTGAAGAAAAACAGGGGCTCAGGGACTATCATGGTAGGGAATGCTGGGAAATAACCCCGGGCTGTCTGGTGAGACTCCCAGTAGACTGTACCTTAGAGGTGAGGACAAATCAAAGCTGACTTACTGGTCAACCACGGACCAGTGTGTGACTGGCTCCACTTCCTTGCTGTTTGCTGCCTGCAGGGAGGATCATGGAGTCCTCACTAGAATGAGGGAACTCATCCTCTTAACATTTTTCGTTCATGGTGTATAGAACTCAGTAAGTGTTCCTAGGCATCTCAGAAACAGACTACAGGGGAAACAAACAGCAGTCAAGCCAAGGAGGCTGAGATAGTGGCTCCTCAGATATTTTTCAATAATTATGGTTGGTCCATTCAAGAAAATAGTTGACATGGTACAGAATTTTGTTGGGAAATTGGGGTCTATTAAAAAAATAAATAAATGATGATTTTAGGTTTAAAAAAAAACTGCAATTGAGAGTTTCAACAAATTCTCTTACTAACATAATAGACAACGTCCAAGAGAATGGGCTAAAATGTAGGTCAGGGGGAAGAGCTAGACCAGGCCATAGCAGGTAGAGATCAGTAAACCTTAACCTGAGTGAAAAAAAGAAGATTGATAGATATAGAAAAGAGAACAAAAGACAAAGTGCCCACCAAAGAGGTGAGAGAGGAAAAATAGAGAGCTAACATAAGAAACAGACGCTGAGAGATTTTCCAACATGGAGGAAAGACACCAACCTACCGATTTAAGGACTGCAAGCAATACCCCAGCCTGGAGAAAGTCCACGCCGACCCATGCCAGGGTAAAACTGCCGAAAAGCAAATGAAATAAGAAATTTTAGACTTCTAAAAGCAAAAGTGAGATGATAGCCCTTCCCCCATGGATAAGCAGAGCCATCAAAATGCCGGCCAATACCAGACATGTTAAAATAGTGTTTTGTCCCTGGACTTGGAGCATCACACCTGCCACTGCCACCTCACTGAACTTTGTCCACAAAAGAATTTGGCTGACTCAGTATGGAAAAGGGAAAGCAAGGAAGTAAATAAATGAAAAGAAAAATAAAAAAAAAAGATAGAGTCTTGAAATGTTTGAGGTAAAGGTGTCTTGTGGGAGACAACCTAGTTGTATTTTGGACAGGAAATACAAAGACTCAGCAATGTTATTTTTATAGTTATTAAACCACCATAGCAATGTCTCTGTGTGTAAAGTATATTAAAAAATAATTTTATCTTATGATCTGCCAGTAAGAAAACAGAAAATAAAGATCTTTAATACCATTTATGAAGAAAATCAAACCTATCAGGTGTATAAGAATAAATCTATTCAGATATGTATAGGACCTCTATTCAAAAAAGTTCCTCTCCATGCATGCCTTTTAATCTCAGCACTATGGAGGCAGAGGCAGGTGGATCTCTGTGAGTTCAAGGCCAGCCTAGTCTGTGAGTTCCAGGACAGCCATGGCTACACGGAGAAACCCTGTCTCAAAACAAAACAGAACAAAACAAAAAGTACTAAAACATTACTGAGAGAGGCAAAAGATGGTCTTAACACAGACACATACCATGTTCTAGATGTATTACACAGACATCTGCGCTAGATTTGTCTGTGGATCTAATCCCATCATTTCAGGAACATGGAAGAAACAGAGAGGAGGAAGAGACAGGACAGACAGATAAGAGAAGGGAGGAGGAAGAGAATAGGAGAGGAGAGGATTAGATTTATGTACAAATGCAAAGAGACAGGATAGCCATTTTGGGTAAAAGAAAGAAACAGAGCTGAAAACACATCACATATTAAAACTTAGGAAATTTAAGATGGAATGGGCTTGTTTCTGTTTTGGTTTTTTAGTGATTCTGTTTGTTGTGGAGTTTTGTGTTTGTTGTTGTTGCGTTTTTTGGGCAGGGTCCTGATATGTTGCCCCTAGTCATACTTATGGCAATCCTCCTGCCCCTGTCTCCTGAGTTAAGGCTCCTTTCTGGGAAGGGGGGGGGGTGCTCTCTCAGCTTTGAGACCTGCCTGTGCCATCTAGCACCATGGAAATGCACTGCCTTTGCCATAGGAAGGGCGAGCTGCTGTCTGCCCAAGGGAGGAATGGTTGTGTCCAGGGGCTTCCTTCTCCTGAGTTTCCCACTGGTCATGTGTCTCCTTGGGTAGATGTCCAGACATCTTTGAAGGGCAGCCCTGCAGCAGGAAAGCGTTATTTTTTTTCTTCTTTTTGATGCTAAAGATTAAGCCTAACACTTTGTGCACCCTGAGCCCTCTACAAGCTGAACTACATCCAGCCCCGTTGTTCATCACTGTTAACAAAACACCTGCGTTCCTTGAGGCTGGGGACACAAAGAAAAGCTTGGTTGGCTCAGTTTGGGAAGTGGAAAATCCAAATAACATGGTGCTGGCTCTGGCCAAAGCCCCCTAGTTACTTTATGCCACAGTGAATGGCATCACAGCAGGACAGATAAAAGCTGGAAGAAGCCAGAGTATGGGGAAGGGCTAAGCTTCCTCTTTGTACTCACTTGAGAACTGTGGTCTCATGAGAACCGCATCAATTCCTTCTGAGGGCAATGTCCACAATGACCCCCACCTCCTAAAAGTCTTATTACTCCCTAACATTATTACAATGGGGACCAAGCTTCCAACACTTGGAGTCTTGAATTCAAACCACAGCTAAACCATAACAGTTTGCTATGAACTGTGAATCCATACCGTGTTCTATAATATCTGCAAGACACGTCCATATGGCTCCAACATGGATTTTTCCACCCTTTGTTGTATTCTTAAAGCATTGATAGCACCTTCTTTCAAAGTCTTCGCTCTATACGCTGCGCCGCAGCCTGATTGAATGGGAAAGAAAGGCTTCCTTCTTCTAGACCTGTATGTCACCTCATAAATACTGGTTGGCAAGGCCTTGTGGAACAAACCCGATAGTTACAGCTCAGCTAGGCAGGTCCTCCAGTTAAAAATTCAGCGGAGCCACTGATTCGACAAATAAATACCTTGCTTCAAGTTCTCGAAGTGAGTGGTCCTGAGAAAAACTGTGAGAGGGTCCCGTTGCCCCATTCCCATGGGACCCTTCCATCTACGCTGCTCCTTGGCAGCCCTCTGCAGGAATTCTGGCCATGGTGCTGAAGGACTTTCTGAAGCTAGGAAATGTGAAGTGGGACCCTTTGATTCGGGCAGAAGAGAAAACTGAATCTGGAGGAGACATTTATCATCCTAGTAAAATGAAGCACGTGATTTGCATTCCAGGTTCTTCAGCTATTCTATGGGAGCACGGGCGTTCTCCCATGACAGTATTTTTATCCCTGATGGGGGAGCAGAAAGTGAGCAGACAGTTCAAGCAATGTCACAGGACAGCATCTTGGGCAAAGTCAAAACTCTTCAGGTAAGACAGCTTGAGACTGGAAGGTCAGAGCCAGGGGAGCCCACTTCAACGCCACCCTCCGTAGAGGGAAGTGGAGCCGTCCCTGGCTGGTCCTTGAGTGATGGAGTGGGAGGCCCCTGAGCCACTTCAGGGGAGAAAGCTTTGATTTCTTGTACCCCACTCAGGTCCCCTGTGAGAGACACTCTCAACACTGCTATACCCACCTGCAGGGCTTGTTTTTTCTTCCCTCCTCTCCTCTCCCCTCCCCTCCTCTCCTTTCCCTTCCCCTCTCCTCCCTTCCTCTCCTCTCCCCTTCCCTCCTCTCCCCTTCCTTCCCTCCTTTTCTTTCCTCTCCCCTCCTTTCCTCTCCCCTCCCACCTCTCCCCTTCCCTCCTGTCTTCTCCTCTCCCCTGCTCTCTTCTCCTCTGGAGAATTGTTGCTTCCTGTTTTGCATGACAACATACGTGAGAGAAGCTAAGGGCTTGCATGTGGAGAAAGAGCTACTAAGCATTGTTATCAGAGCTGCTGTCAACAGTCTGGTGGGGAGAGGCTAGACGGTGCCTGTAAATGTCTAGAAAGAACCTTATGACTCCCTGCCTTTGACCCTGCAACGTGGGCGGTTTTCTTAACTAATGTAGATTCCGCTGGTGACTCCCTGCCAGTGAAAATGTGGTAAAACAGTACTGAACTACATGTGGTTAAAATAAGTCTAGGAACAACGTTAAAGGAGCAACGACTGTAGAGTCCGATTGTGCAGAGTTGTCCCGTTGCTGGGAAGCATTTCCATCACCAGGAAGCAATGCCAAGGCAAGCACTTGTCCGAGAGGGGAGAGCCAGGACCAGTGCTTCTCACCCTGTGGGCTGTGACTCCTCTGGGGAGTCAAAGGACCCTTTCACAGGGGTCACATATCAGATATTTACATCGCATAGGACTCATGTAGCAAAATTAGTACTTTGAAGTAGGAACAGAAATATTTTTATGGTTGGGGTCACCACGACATAAGGAATTGTGTTAGGGGGCCACAGCATCAGGGAAGGTTGAGGACCATTGCTCTAGAGGTTTGGAAAGAGGGATCTGACTTGCTGGGTCCCACCTGGAACCCACGAGAAGAAAAAAGCAATGGAAAAAACCCACCAATGGCTGAGAAGCGTTTGATACAAAGAAGCACTGTACTCAAAAGTAACTTTTCTATTCTTTTTACTTGCTCTTTTTTTTTTCCGCACCACCATGCCTGGCCCACAAGTTCTTGTTTCTACTGAGAACAGGCTGGGCTGTGATCTATGGTCATACACTCAGTGGAAGGTGATGTATGACAAACTGGGAGTAGCCAATGACCTGGAACAACACCCAGGCTTGCCTGGGTCATTATGCCTGCAGCCACCACCTACCAAGGCCAGATCGCTGCCCACACAGCCAGCCGGCCTGGCCTGCACATCCTAACACTCCCCAGCCAGACTCCTCTCTTGTTTCTGCTGGCCGTGCTCTTACACTTCTAGACTCTGAAGAAGCAATCTATTCACACGTTGAAGAGGGAGGACGGGAATAGGCAGGGAAACCTTTGACCTCTTTCAGTCTTCTGAGTCCCAATAGGTTCTGAGCCCTCTGGCTTATCACATCCCGTTTCTGAAAGGAATGTGCAGAATTCAGTCCACGAAATAAATAGCTGTATTTTACGGGAGCTTCAAGACATTCTTTAAAGGGTGTATAATGACCTGTTGCCTTCAGCTGTATCTGCTCCATAACATTTACCACATACCACTCTAAAAAGTAGATTTAAGGCCTGTAAAGCACATGTAATTGTGCAGTATTGAAAAAAAAATAGAACCTCAAATAAAATATATGAGTGACTGTGATTTCTATTAACAGTAAGGTATGTTTTTTTTTTTTTAATAATCTGACCCCATTTAATAAATAAAATGTAAAACCATCAACTCCCCTGAAGTGACAATTCGATTAGCACAAGGGCATGGGGTGGCGTGAGCAGAGCAGAATGGCTGTCTCACGGGAGTGGTCTCATCCAGACCTCTGAGATCTACCTAATTCTGCTCCCCGCTGCTGCAGTCAGGAACCTCCTTTGATCTCTACAGTGATGGCGGGAACTGGGGACCACAGTCTGGGCAAATGGGGTTTTCTTTTTTGTAAGTGACCTAAAGTTTAACCGAATCACTCCCAAAAGACTATGCTTTATTTTTCAGTCGACTAAGCAGTATGTTCCTGGTAAGTCCCCCGAATCTAGTGACTTCAGACACTTGCATGGGTGCTTTGCATTTCCCTCGACAATGTTCTGTGATGTTGGCCGATGCTCAGTGAAGCATCCGAGCCCGCCTCCTCGTGGACTCCAGCATGGAATGAGTGGGTTCAGCTGTGTCAGAGGCATGTGTGTTTTCATGTCTGGAATTGCTCTTGTGAACCTGTCTTTGATTTTTTGGGGTTTTGTTTTGCTCTGTTTTGTTTTGTTTAAAAGAAAAGGAATGGATGACGCCTATTTAATAGTGAACGTCCTAGCTGGATGATTAGCCACAATTATTTAAATCTTCGTTTGTAACGAAAGTTTTTAGAATATCGTTTAACAAAAACAAAAAGTTTAAGAAACTGTCCAGCATTCATTTAGAACTCATGAACGTGAGTGGAAAGGTGTTTGTATTTGGAAAGACTGCCCTCTAGTGCCCATTCACGTCATAGCACCTAGAAGTGTCACAGAGCATCCACAAGCCTTAGCATCCCTCCACACTAATGGGATAACGGAATTCCGCACTGTGAGCCTACCCTGTCTTGAATAATATCACGATATCATGGCAGATTTTCTGTGGCAAGCTATTGATCTTCCTAAAAGAACAAGCACACATTTCTTTTCTGAGTATAAAAAATGTGCACTGTGAGAACAAATTTTAGTAAACATTTAGTTACAGGGACTAAAACAATAGTATCCTTTTGAGGACTTGATACAAAAGTCATTTGCTCCCCAGCCGGTAGGACAAATACCATCTGAATGGATGAGAGGACACAGAGAAACAAAAAGCACCTGTAAGGCCTCTGCCACCGTGTGGTCCTATGACCTTGAGCCAAGGAATTCTTAATCTCTGTGACTCTCGTTTTCCCTACTTGACCAAGAAGAGGGTGCATGTAATGGGCAAGCCTTGAAGGCTCCTCCAGGTCCTGAAGCCCCAAGTCTGTATGAAATCACTGTTCACTGCTGCATGCAATGGCTTTATGAGCTTTGCCCTTGGTTATATTTGCGCTACAGTGACCTTGACATTACCTACACAGCTCACCCTGGAAGCAGAGATCAGGGCGATCGCCTCTATTTAAGGTCAGGCCCAGCTGTGAGGAGTGTGTACCACCAGCTGCTGGTGAAACTAGGGGCAGCCCATTCTGCACCTGGGGGCGATTTGTAGAATTGTATCACACTTTAGTAGGGAAATGTCTATGTTGCTTGAACCACAGATTCTTTGTGGGGGTGTGGGCGTGGGGGCTCCCATCCTTAGCCTGCGGATATCTCCTCGATTTCACCTTGAGAATTTCAAAATTGTGCATTTGCAATTTTTGACATCTAACACAGCTGTCAAGGGCAGAGAGAATAAGTGCCGGCTCTTGGCCAGTCCTTCCCAGAACAGATGTCTAAACCTGTATGCTTTTCTTCTTTCTTTCTCATAAAAAGAAGTCACTTTTTCGATGGAAGTGTCTGCGGTCTGCTCAAGAAGGAGGCACCCCCCCTTCCCGCCCTGCCCTGCCGTTTGCTTTTACAGACATGTTTTTTTAAAAAATGGCTGCAGGAAAAAGAAAGAAAGAGAGAGAGAGAGAGAGAGAGAGAGAGAGAGAGAGAGAAAGGAAAGAAAGAAAGAAAGAAAGAAAGAAAGAAAGAAAGAAAGAAAGAAAGAAAGAAAGAAATCTGAGAAATTCTAAACACTGGCAGTGCAAAAAGCTGCAGAATACAATGTGCTTGGCATTTCCACGCCATAGCCTCCAGCCTCATGAATATGCATGCACATTCCCGTAGCATCATTACTGAGCATTCCGAGTTACAACAAACTGGCCCAAACCAAATGAATAAAATATAGCTCCGTTTAGCTCACATTCCCGTTGCAACAGTAGCTCCATTCACAGCCACTAGCAACACACACTGTCAGTATATGGACCGATTTCCTCTCTCCTGTTAATAACTGTGACTTGTGCAAAGACAGAGCTTGTGGGGGAGATGGAATTTCAGGGACTGCTTGTAACAGCCTAATTTTCAGTAATTGCTCGTGGGTTCTTTCATGATGATGCCTAAATTCTGAGCAAATGAAGGCAATAAAAACAAATTTATTCACACATAGTTCACAGGACCCCTCAAATTGCCAGACAGATTTTAGCAGTGATCTTTTAATTGTCAATACGTCTTACAAAATGTCACAACAATCCAGTGTCCTTTCAGTCACTTAAAGGACGAACTTGGAGAAGGGAGTGTGTCAGGGTGTGAGAGTCTGGTCTGTGAACACCAGAGGCCCAACCATGCAGGGCCCTGGGCTCCAAGTCCTGCTTTAACCTTGGCCCACCAGCTCTTGTCTAAAATCCGCAGGACACTTCTTTATCTAGACACAGAGACCAGCCCCGCTCCCCTATCCCATCACTATTCCCCTGCCTGCCTCTAAGATCCTCTCCCCCAGATCCCCAGCCACCAGCCCGAGTCTGCTTTCTCTAGGGAATTTCAAATCAGCATCTATACCAAAGGGCACATTTTTATTCTCAATAGCAACAGCTTTAGCGTTATTTATTTTTCCAGGATAAGCATGTCTGTGACATAAATCAACCGTTTGGCATAACTGCATACTCTCCTTCCTTCTGCCCTCTTCCCCTCCTCCGTCCTCCAGGTCCCTGACTGTTAAACCCACCGTCCCTGCTGTTATACCCATCTCCCTCTTCTTTCCTCCACAGTTCCTGTCACTGCCACCTCCCTCTAGACTTCCACTTCATTTCCTTTAATGTATTTAATCTTATTTTAGATGCGTAGATATATATGCATTGGTGTAAGGCTATCCGATCCCTTGGAACTGGAGTTGCAGACATTTGTGAGCTGTCCTGTGGGTGCTGGGAATCGAACCCAGGTCCTTTGGAAGAGCAGACAATGATCATAACCACTGAGCCATCTCATTATCCCTTCCACTCCATTTCTTAACATTCTGCCCATTTCCCAGCTTGATTCTGTGCACTTTACTGTACCTATCCTTATCCCATCAACTGTTTTTGTTTTCTCTCTTTGCCTTCCCTTTCCTTTTCCATTTTTAACCACAAAAGTCATTTTGTCATTGGACTTTATTTCTATCTAGGCTGTGATTGTGTTTGCTGCATCCTTTCTTGTCTCTTAAGCATCAGAATGAGCCAATAACAGTATTCTAAAAAGATCCCTGGTCAAGTAAAGTGGCATATATGCTCTTTTGGTGATGGTGACAATGAAGTGTTATGCCATGGAGTGCATTACAAATGTCCTTCCCATTTGTAGGTATGAGAAATGGCTTTCGTCTTCACTGGTCAATGGACACATTACAGTTAGGAAGACAATTTAGCCACAGTGTTCTATAGCACAGTAGGGCAACTATGGTTAATAATTCATAGTAGATTTCAAAATATCTAGAAAAGAGAACTTTGAACGTGCCCAACACAAAGAAGGGGACCATATGTGAGGTCCTCAGTCAAGTGACAGATGCTTGTAACCCACTCTCAGGCGAGATGATCAAGACTCCAAGGCCAGCCTAGGCTACCTAGCAAGATGCTGTCTCAGAAGAGAAAGGAAGGATCCACCTACCCTCATCCCATCCCCAGGGCACTGGTACCAAAGCCCCTGCCAGTGGGCGTCTCCCCAGCACATGGAGACTTAGAACAGTTTCAGGCGGAGGGCCAGCACTCCTAGGGAAGGTTGGATTGGGAGGCCACAGGGAGCTCCCTCACCCCTTCTGCCCAGGTTCCCACCCTCTTCCCCCAGGGCAGCAGAGCGAGCCAGGCCTGTGGCTGTGACTCCGTGTCCTCTTGTCTGACTCCATCGGCTGTTCTAACTGTGCCTGCTTATTGACCTGCTTAGAGCAGAAACTAACTGCCGCTTCCTGCCAGACTTGTTTTTGGAAGACATCTTTTTTTTTTTTCAGCAACCTGCAACCTTTTGGGGACTGCTGAAGCTTTCCTTCCCTGGCTGAATGGGGGCTTTTGGTGTGCACTTCTCCTGTGAGGCCAGGAGCCTGGTGCAGGCTGACATCACAGCGAACCAAATGCAAACCCTTGCACCTGACCCAGCATGCTGGGTGGCTGGGGGCGGGGCGTGCTGAGCAGAGAGGGGAGTCTTGGGGCTCATCTGTGTCATGTCATGCATCTGCAGTCTCGCTGCTCTCTGGGCAAGGCTGGGGGGTCGGGGTGAGCTGGATGGACATGGGTGGGCCTGCTCCCATTGAGTTCTAAGGGGGCAGGTTTCTCTCAAGGGATTCTTTGGCCAAGGATCTTTAGAGAAATATTTAAAATGCCGTCTCATTGCTTTAGGTAACTATCCCTGCAAGAAGGAAGTACACCATCAAATTTATGAGAGCCAATGTGAAGTACAGTGACCATAACTCTGGATGTTATTTTTGAAGACCCGGGCTCAGATTCCTTTGGGGCCCTCAGCCTTCCCATGAGCTTGGGCCGGTCACCTCTCCCCACAGGAACCTGAACCTGGTTTTGCAGAATGAGTGGGTGTGTCCCAGTTTGGCCTGTTGCTGTACTAAAACACTGACCAAAAGTAAGTTGGGGAGGAAAAGGATTTATTTCATCAAACAGGTCACGGCCCATCACTGTGGGAAGACAGTGCAGCAACTCAAAGCAGGAACCCAGAAGCAGGAACCAAAGACCATGGGGGAAGGCTGCTTAGTGGCTCACATTCACCTCCCCTTCCTATGCAGCCAAGAACCACCTGCCCAGGGATGGTACCACCAGAAGTGGGCCGGACACTCCTCCATCACAGATATGCCCACGGGGCCGTCTGATGGAGGAAACTGGTCGTTGAGGTCCCCCTTCCCAGGGAACCTCTAGTTTATGTCAAATTCAGAAAAAACAAAACAAAACAAAAAAAAAAAAAAAAAAAAACTCACCAGCGCAGGGTCGGAGTAGATGTTTGCCAGAAGCTCTGTTTGATTAACTTTGTTAGCCAGAGTAAAGATAAATATCAAACCGTATTGTTTAAACCACATATGGGCTCAGATCTAGAGCAGTGGCGCTTAGCCAGGGCCAGTTTGGCCCAGGGAGACGTTGGGCAACATCTGGAGTGAGTTTTCCTCCTTAACTCTACCCTTCCTCATGTTACTGTTCAGATGACTGCAGGCCGCTTCTGCCCTCCCTTCAGCTGCCAGCTCTCAGTCAGTAGTACCTCTGTGGTCCTTTCCTCCCCCACCCCGACCCCTAGGGTTCTCTAGGGCCCCTAGTTCATGATATGAAATTGTAGCAAAGGAAGAAAAGTGGCCTATTCCCCTCCCTGGTGTGATGTCAGTGTTCATCGAGGAAAGCCTTGCTGAACCTGGGACCTTCCTCGGCTGGGACCCGCTGTGCCCGGAGCACGTGGCTTTGATACGGGATTCACAAGCTACATGCAGAAGTGTAAAGACTCACCAAGGATGTATCCAGAAAGGACTATTAAGTTCATGTAGCACCCGCCTTAAGAATCTTTATTTCTCTCCCATGGGTTCTACCTTTTATGTAACTATTTTCTGTATAATTTCTTCACCCATTAAAAAGACTCTAGACTTATAGATGGGTCAGAAAAAAAAATTTTTTAAACGTATTTCCAACCTTAGTTCAGAAATATGGTCCCTGTACCTACTGGACACGGTCATCCTTTCCACTACAAGGGGGAGCTGGAGTTCTTTTAAAAGCTTGTGGCTCTGAAGATGGAAACAAGAGCGCTTGCTGCAGGACCTCGCTTCGAGGTCCCTTGGCATGGCGGTGCCTCTAGAAGGCAGCTGGGCACACCTCTCCCTTGCTGCTTCCTGCCCATGCCGGGCAACCCGGTCACGGCTGTGGAGCCCTCGGCTGTTTCAGAACGTCTTCCCTTTGTTTCCCACCCCCCCAGCGACAGTTGGGCAAGAATATCAAGTTTGGGCAGCGGCGGCCGTCTAATAGCATTCCCATGAAGAAGGCAGGCAGCGCAGACGTGGGCTCAGAGGAGGACTTTTTCCTGACCAGTCCCATGGAAACTGCCACTCAGCAGGACACCATCCTGTCAGACGCTGAGAACAGAGTAAGTCTTCCCCCAGCGGGGAACTCTGATGCCGATAAGCCAGAGGTTAAGGTGTAAGGTGCGAGGCAGTAGACGGTGTGTGGGAAGCTGTGGAGGATATATGAGGACCAGTGAGAAAGATGGGGAGGAGGAAGGCACGGCATTTTTTGCAGGTGCTTTTGACAGCGCCTTCTACAAATCCTTCAAGGCTTGGGTGGCTGAGCTGCTTCTGAGGGGGTGGGGTGGTTTGTTTATTTTAATGCTCTCCCTCACCTCTCCGGTATCAGGCAGCAAGAGCAGCAGCCATGGCTTGAACACGTAATTCATGAGGACTGAAGAAGTATCCTTGCCGTCACTTAGGTTTTTGAAGTGGGAGGTGCTGTGGCCTCAGCAGAGGACGCTCTTTGTTCAGCAGACCTTGTTGTAGGGGTGGGTGTCACAGAGATGAGCAAGATTTGTCACGGGAGGGCCTCCGGTGGTTTACATCCTAATGAGAGGGTGTCACCGGGCACACAGGTCGCCAGGCAGGTAATTGTCTCTCAGATCAGGCAACATGCTGCCTGCCGGGAATAAGGGAGTAAGTAACTCGGTTGGGAGAAGGGTCGCAGTTTTAGATGCGGGCTTGGGGACGGACCAAGCCATGAGGGCAAGATGGACGAATGCTCTAGGAGCAGAGATGAGCCAGAGCAGAGACCCAGAAGAGAGTCAGCCGGTCTTGAGAAGGAGACAGGGAGGCTAGTCAGGTGTGGCTGGCTGGATGCCGTGGCAGATGCCGGAAACCACGAAAAGGGAGAGAGCCTGTCTTCAATTCTGAGTAATAGGAAGCAAGCAAGGAAGTGTCCGGAGCTGATCGATCGATCTATCTATCTATTATCTATCTATCTATCTATCTATCTATCTATCTATCTATCTATCTATCTATCTATGTGTGTGTCTGTGTGTGAGCATGGTTGCACGTATGTGAGATTCAGAAGACAGTGCTTAAGAATTACTTCTCTCCTGCCCTCGCTACCTTATGGGTTCTGGGAATAACTCTGGTCATCGGGTCTGCACCTACCCAGTGGCTCACCTCACAGAGCCCTGGCTTGTGTCTCTAGACACCTTTTAAATGTGCAGCATAGAGCAGACTGGGCACACAGATATAGGGACACAAGGCAGCAATAGAGCTGTCCACCCTTAAAGGCACATGCCACCTTCTGGGGATGCTTCCGGGACAAGCCTGGTTCCTTAGTCACCCTCAGCTCTCCCTCCCTGGTCTTTGGCCTTCCCAGTCCAGCCTTCCGCATCTGGCTCCAGGAGGAACTCCTGTCCTCACTCTTCGCTTAGGGGTCTGACTGCTGAAGGAAGTCAGAAGAAGGCTGCCAGCAAGTTCCAAAGCTCCGTAGTGGCCCCATTTCCCAAGCAGGGTGGCCGTGGCCGCCAAGCAGCCCCTCCGCTGCTTCTCTCAGGAAGGAAGTGGGAGGACTTACTTAAGGCTGGGAACTAAGCAGGTAGGAAATACACCCAACTCCAGAAATGGAGATTTTCCTCCATGGCTCAGAGAGTCCCAGTCAGTCGGTCTCCACAGTGATTCCCTGTTGGTGACAGGAAAGCAGGTGTCCCCTGTGGAGCAGGAGGTCACCCTGATCAGGCCTAGAAGGTGCCGGTTGATTGCCCAGCACTTCCTGTCCCCACATTTAACTTCAAGTGCTTATCTCTTCTGTTCCAGGCCAGTGATACACCGGGTTCCTCAAGTCCTCTGAATCTACCTGAAGCCGGGAGTGAAATGGAAGAGAAGGTAATGGGACTTGAACTTTTTTTTATTGTCTCTTTCCTTCCCCCCCCCCCCCCACAATCTATTGTTTCACCTTCTGTTCATAAACCAAAACAACCAGTGGTAGAGGTTAAAACATCCATTTCCATGGCAACACAACCACTCTGCTCTGAAGAATAGCCATATCCCACAGTGCCTTGGGATTTTTAGACAGCAAAACAGATCGTGGACCTCAAGTCATTGTTAATCCGCTGAGAAGGGCATTCTAGAATGCCTGCTACTCTAGACTGTAGGAAAAGTCTTCTATTATGTACAAATGTTAAGAAACAAACCCAAACCCAACCTAACCTTTCTCTGCTTTTACACACATGCACTTTTAATGTCCCTTTATTAATTTGTGTGTACAAGTGTTCGCTTTAGTGTGTGTGTGAGTGTGTGTGGGGGGGGAGAGTATGTGGCCCTGGATTTTACCTGCAGTCTGAGGAGTCGAGACCCTTCACCCTGAGCTTGTGTCCTGTAAGGAGCTGGGTTTCTCTGATGAGAATTCTCGTCTCTACATGGGGTAGGCCTTCTCTAAAGAAACTGATGGATGCGACAATGACCAGCTCTGCATCCGAGAGGGGTGGCTCTGAACAGCACCACTGCCCAGACAGAGATAAGGCCCAGTGGGGGATGGCACCGAAATCTCAGCTTTGAGTGCCCCTCCCAGACAACAGTCTGTCACACTGGCTCTGCCATTCCCCCATGCGCCTCTTTAGAAACGGAAGTAAGTGCTTAATTCACCTCAGAACTTCGTATCTATTGGAAGAGTAACCATGAACAACTATAAGCTACAAAGGCTGGAAATACTTGCTCTCTACCTCCTAATTCACGAACTCATGTGTACAAAGTAACTTTCTGATGATTAGAAGTGTGTATTAGTTTGGTGTCTTACCTTCTGTGAATGAATATGGGAGGTAATTGCCAACGTCCAAGCCCTTTTCACGCACACCTCACAAGACTTTACAGATACAGCGCAAAGCATCCACAAGCCTGGCCCTGCCCAGGGCTGGCCTCTGTGCACAGAGCTGCTACGGGTGCTACCCTGAAAGGGCTGTGGCGCCCCTGTTGCGTATTGACACCGGAGCCCTTTCCTGAGGGGTGTCTACATTCTCTTATGTCATAGGTGTGGCTTCCTGCCGTCCTTCAGTCCATCCTCTGATTGAGGCTGTGCCATGGCCACCAACCTCTCTAAATGTTTGGAGTTTGTCTAAGGTTTTGGTCTTTTTAAAAAAGATTGATTTATTTTATTTTTTGTATGTGAGCGTTTCGCCTTTGTGTATGCGTGTGCACCACAATCTCGCCTGGTGCCTGCAGAGGTCAGCGGAGGACACCAGATCCCCTGGAACTGGAGTCACGGATAATTGTGAGCCACCATGTGGGTGCTGGGAATAGAAACCAGGTCCTGTGTGAGAACAGCATGTGCTGTTTACTGCTGAGCTAGCTACCGCTCCAGCCCCTTAAATTATTTTTTGAGACGAGAGTCTCCTGTAGTCCAGACAGGCCTCGAACTCACTGTGGCCAAGGGTGACCTTCCTGACTCTCCTGTCCCCATCCCCCTAGTACTAAGATTACAAGTGTGTGCCGCCTTGGTGGGGTGAGAAGCAGTCTTCTAGTGAATGTGGTTTTAGTTACTATCTTTTTTTAAAATATTTATTTTATTTATTATGTACACAGTGTTCTGCCTGCACGCCAGCAGAGGGCACCAGATCTCACTCTAGATGGTTGTGAGCTACCATGTGGTTGCTGGGGGTTGAACTCAGGACCTCTGAAGGGCAACTGGTGCCCTTAACCTGCCATCTCTCCAGCCCAGTTATCTTTTTAAATCAGAGCACTTTGTTAGCTTTTTGGTGTCTTCAGCATTCTATGATTTTAAGCGAACATGTCAAAATATTTTTTAAAAATGTAATAATATTTATACCTGGCCCCACCTTCTCTGACAGTTTTTTACATGTATAGGTATCTTGCTCATAGCCCTCTTCCTCCCACTGCCTTCCCCCAGGCCCTCTCCCATCATACCTCCCTCCCTATTTCATGCCCTGGTCTCTTTTAATAACTTGCCAAGTCTTCTCAGAGTTGGCACAATGTTCACGGGTGTGGCACCTTCTCCTGTTTCTCTGGCCTGCCCCCGTGCAAGCCAGAGGAAAAGGAACCCCAGCAAGCAAAAGGAACCCCTGGCTTCCCCCCCACCTCAGAAGCTGGTTGGGAACTGGCTGTGGTTTTTTTTGTTTTTTTTTTCGGAATTTTGTACTGTGGACTGACTGACTCTCATTCAAACCAGCCTTCCTTGGGCTAAGCCGGGCAAACAGAAGCCAGCGGGATTCCCTGTAGCTTGTGTTCTGATCCGTGCTGACTTTTATATCTTAATCTGCCCTCTAGGTTGTTCCAGTTAAACCCTCTCGGCCCAAAAGGCACTTCCCTTCTGCTGGCACCATTGAAAGTGTCAACCTCGACGCCATCCCCCTGGCCATTGCCCGCCTGGACAACAGTGCCGCCAAGCACAAACTCTCGGTTAAGCCAAAAAACCAGAGGGTGTCAAGGAAGCACAGGTGGCTTGCCCAGGTGCGTAGAGTCGGCCGTAGGTGGTGAGACAGGTGCCCTGCTTGCTGGGCCCTAATTCTCCCCCATGTGTGGCGCTGGAGTAGAGTAAGGTCCAGGGCGCTCCCTATCAGGGCCTTGAATGTTCCGCGGTGTACAGGGATCAAACGATCTGTTTGCCCTCCATCGCTCGAGGTGGGGGACCTCAGGGCACAGCCTGGAAAGGTGTGCCAAATGCCCAGGAGTTTTCTGCCCAGAAAGACAGGCCAGCTCTGCGTAGCTGAGGTTCTTCTTAGGGTGGGGGCTTCTGAGTCACACGCCTCGGGGGACAGCAATGAGATCCAAATCTCCTTCTTTTTTTGCTCACCCGCCCAGTGCCAGGTTTATCGTTTTTTCCTGTCAGTCATCTATACTAAGAAACATAAATTTGGAAACAGCAAATGAGGGGGGCTAGAGGGCAAAACAAAATATATTATTTCCTCTGTTCCCTCAACTATTCTTGAGTATGACCAATGACTGAGTTCATCTGGAAAGGAACACATTCTAAGGACCTTGAATAGACTGTTTTGTGCTTAATATAGGTGCATGCATACTTATGATAGCTTAGCTCCTAAATCCGGTATGGTAAAAAGATTTACAACAATAACAAATTAGAATCATCATAACGACATACACTGTACTAAGTCGTTAAAGCATATTAATTGTCTCTGGAGATTCAGCTGCCCGTAGTATTCGGTTGCCTTTAGGGCAACTGAAACGGTGGGGGCAAAACCACACTCATTGCTGTGACAAAGTATCTGAGGTTTATTTTGCCCAAGGGTTTGGGAGCACAGTCCATCTTGTCGCAGAAGTCACGGCGGCAGCAGTACAGAACTGAAGGCAGTCGCTTTGCACACGGGGTGGGGGGGGGGGGAAGAAGCAGGGATAAAAGCGCGCAGCTTGTTTTCACCTTCCTGCCCCAGCCCTTGGCAAGGTGCCACCCACATTCGGGCCGGCTAAGCCGTTCTGGAAAGAGCCGAAGGTGATTCTGGGTCCAGTCAGGTTGACCCCGAGGCTTGGCCGTCCTGCGCGGCTGTGTCCGCGCTTGGGAACATCACCTCGAGATTAGGAGGCTCGCCTGGGCCGTGGCGGGGACGTCAGGGCGCTGTGCGGGAAAGGCTAATTGTTCCCCTTTCCCGGGCTAGGATCGACAGGACCAGGCGGGCAGCTTGGAGAGCCAGTCCTCCCTGGACCAGAACGGGCAGCCGGGAGAAGACAAGCACGTTTGCCATGAAGAGGAGCCAGAACCTTTGGAATCCCAGGAGGAGAAAAGACTCCAGGAAGAGTACTGGCGGGAACTTGAAGCCAAGTGCAAACGGCAAAAAGCCGAAGCAGCCGAGAAGAGGCGCCTGGAAGAGCAGAGGCGGCAGGCGCTGGAGAGGAGGCTGTGGGAGGAGAGCCTCAGACACGAGCTGCTGGAGGAGGAGGAGGAGGAGGGCGAAGAGGCAGACGCGCAGCTGGAGGCAGGGAAGGCGCCTCCAGGGGAAGGGCGGCAGGCGGGTGTGGAGGAGCAGCGCTGCGCAGAGCAGGAGCCGGGAGATGCCAACGACCCCGCGCGCCCCGAGCCGGCTGGGCGCAGGCGTGAGCAGGAAGAGGCCGAGAGGCAGGAGGAGAAACTGAGGCAGAGGGATGCCCAGAGGCAGGAAGAGGAGCGGAGGCAGCGCGAGGCCGAGAAGAAGGAGGAGGAACTGAGGCAGGAGGATGCCCAGCAGAAGCTGGAGGAGGAACTAAGGCAACTCGAGGCCGAGAGGCGGGAGGAGAAACTGAGGCAGCGCGAGGCCGAGACGCAGGAGGAGAAGCCGAGGCAGAGCGAGGCAGGGAGAGGCAAGAGCCCTCGGGAAGAGGAGGAGGCAGAGAGGATGCTGCGGGAGGAAGAGGAGGCCAAGCGCGCGGGAGAGCCGAAAGGGCGGGAAAAGGAGGCGCCGGAGCCGCGGCTGGAGGAAGGCCCGCCGAGCCCACGAGGAGATTGCCAGGCACTGCCAGCGGGCGACGCCGACCAGAAGGACCCCGGGGCGCGGGAGGAAGCAGAAAAGCCGGAGTCCGCGGGGTGGAGGGAGACAGCGGAGGAGCAGAGGGGAGAGACCGAGTCCGCGGGGCCGAGCGCCGGCGCAGACGCAGAGGGGGCGGGGGCTGCGCAGACAGACATCCCCCGGCCGCAGGAGGGACCGGTGGGCGGGCTGCGGGCCCCGGAGGAGGAGGAGGACGACGAAGCGGCCGCTTCCGACGGCGACCGAAAGGGGGAGGAGCTCCGCTGGCAGGAGGTGGAGGAGCGGCAGAGCACGCCCCGGCCCTACACCTTCCAGGTGTCGTCGGGCAGCAGGCAGATCGTCTTCCCCAAGGTCAACCTCACCCCGGTGACGCCCGCCAAGGACGCCGGCCCGGCCCCGGCGGCCCAGGATCCGCCCGCGCCCCGCGGCGCCCTGCCGGCGGCGCTGAGCATCCCGCACACGGCCATCCTGGTCACCGGGGCGCAGCTGTGCGGCCCGGCGGTCAACCTGAGCCAGATCAAGGACACGGCCTGCAAGTCCCTCCTGGGCCTGTCGGAGGAGAGGCGGCCCACGGACGTCCCCCCGGGGGAGCCCAGGGCCGGCGGGGGCAGGGCCAGGCCTCCCCCGGAGTCGCCGTCGGGCAGCTCGACGGCGCTGGCCGAGTGGGCCTGCATTCGCTCCCGGATCCTGAAGAACGCCGAGGGCGACCCCCGCGGCGACCGAGAGCCGGCCAGGGCCGGCGACGAGCCCGCCCCCCGAGCGCGCTGCGACTCCCGAGGGAGCGCGCGCAGGGCGCCGCCGGGCAACGCCAAGTTCTCCATCACGCCCGCCTGGCAGAAGTTCTCGGACGGCGGCGGCGGTGCCGAGACCTCCAGACAGGGCCAGGACGGTGAAGGCGGGAGGAAGAAGCCGTCCGGGCCGGCGCCCAGCGGGGAGACGGCAACCCAGCCTCCCCCGCCTGCCCCGGCCCCGGAGCCCCAGAGGAGCCAGGACCAGCAGGAGGCGAGCCAGGAACCCCCCGACGCCACCGACGGGTGCAAATTTGCCAAAGACCTTCCATCGTTCCTCGTCCCGGGCCTGCCCTCCCCGCAGAGAGCTGCGTCCCGCACGGAGTCCACGACCACTCTGGACAGCGAGACCACGGGTGACGTAGGAGAGCCAGACCCCGCGACGCCGGGAGGTGAGGAAAAGGCCTCGCCCTTTGGAATAAAGCTGAGAAGGACCAACTACTCCTTGCGCTTCCACTGTGACCAGCAGGCCGAACAGAAGAAGAAAAAGAGGCACAGCAGCACGGGAGAGAGCGCGGATGGGGGCACCCCCGCGGCCGGGAGCGCCCCCGGAGAGAGAGAGCCTGAAGCCGTGGCCCCCAAGCACGGCCCACCCCTTCCCCAGGACAGAAAGCCAGCCCTCAGCCCTCGGAGGGACTCCGTGGAAAGCCATTCTAGCGGTCACTCTGTTGCCGTCGCCCAGTCGGGGCCACCACCAGCCGGTAGCCAGACCCCAGCCCCGGAGCCCGACAAGGCAGCAAGCAAAATGCCCCCGATGCAGAAGCCGGCCCTGGCTCCCAAGCCTGCCACCCAGACCCCACCTTCATCCCCGCTGTCCAAACTGAGCAGACCCCACTTAGTCGAGCTGCTGGCCAGGCGAGCTGGGAAGCTCGACTCGGAGCCCTGTGAGACCCGCAAGGAGAGCCAGGAGAGCAGTAGTAACCAGCCACCGTCGCTGTCGCTGCCAGAGTCGCCAAAGAGGCAGAAGAGGGATGAGGAAGAAGTGCTAGAGAAGAAGCCCGCTTCCCCGCCTCCGCCAGCCAGCCAGCCAGAGAGAGCCTCCCTAACTCCTGAAACTGGTAGAAAAGGTATGTAGCCTCCCACACAGAATGCCCAGCTTTGTTCGGGGGAGAGGGACCTGAGGGAGGGAGCCCCGGGGAACCCTCTCTAGGAGGACAGGAATTGGGAGCAGGTTTGCTCCCGACTGGTCCCTTTCCATTTTTCACATTCTTTGAATTGACCTGTAGCCCCAGTCAACACAGATCTCATTAACCATTTTGAGCAAGTCTGTAGAGACGATGGGAAGTAGAATCACCGTCTGGGTAGCCAAGGCAAGAAGATGGGAGGGAGGTCAGGCCACCAGCCCTGGTCCTGTGAAGCTCCAAACTCCCCTGGGCCATGTAAAATAAAACACAGTTTAACACCCTTCCTTCCCGTGCTGCAGACTTCCCATACAGAGCAACCCGGGGCTCTGGCTGCCTCTTTCTTCACACTAAATATTTAAGGTGGTTGAGTTGTCAGCTGACTTGGCTTCCGAGCCTCCTGAGAATGCTCACCTAATCTTCCAGAGACAAAGTTTGGCTCATGACCAGGGAGTTTCTCTTTTTAAGTTTGGGGTGGCTTTTGCTTCCTTGAGAAGTGTTAGCTTGGTTCCTTTTCATACCTTCATGGAAGCCTCTAGAGTGCTGCTGTGAGCGTGCCATGCCATCCTCACAGAGACCGTGAGTGGACATGATTACATCTCTCTGCAATGTCAGAAGTGAGCGAATAACAAAGCCACAGGCTCTATCTGTTTTTTCGCTAGCCCTTTGCCAGGTAGTCTCTGTTTCCCGTGGTGGTTGGCCAAGCTCTCTTATTCCAATCTTAATTACTAATATTAAATCTCATATCACACGTAACACTTCACATAGTAAATACACACGTGTACATGAGCACGTGTGTGCATGCACGCATGCTTGTGCACATATGTGTGTTTTGTACCTGTATAAAGTGTTAAGCCTCAATAGGAGTCAAGGAATCCAGAGAGGGCTTCCTGGAGGTGGAGTGCTGACGCAGATTCAGAGTCGCTGAGGAACCAGGTAAGAAAACAATAATGAACCCAGCAGGGCGGCCAGAGAGAGGAGTGCCAAGAGCACTCACCCTTACAGAGGACCATGGGTTGATTCCCAGAATCGCTCCTCACACCTCTGCATAGCTACCGTTCCAGAGGGTCCAGTACCCTCTTCTGGCCTTCAGTGGGCACCAGGCACACATGCAGCACACTGGCATACGTGCAGGCAGCGGGCGCATACACACATACACACACACACACACACACACACACACACACACACACACACACACACGAGGACTACTGCCAGGGAAGCAGGGTTTCAGATAAACAAAGCCTCAAACCTTAGGGTTGGGTCCAGCTGCAGAAACAGCTGGAGCTGAAGGACCACAGAGCCATAGAAAAGGTTTGGTGTCTTTATGGGGTACAGGTGAGCAGGCTACACCCTTGGTCTATGCGGTGTGGTCTATAAATCCCCAGCCTTAGCCTTTACGACTCTAATAATGCTCATGTGTCCACATGTCTCCAGTTGCTGGGATCAGTGTCCAGGTGGTTCCTATCTCTTTTAGGAATAAGTGTGTCAGTGTGCCCCATGGGTAGTGCCGGACAAAAGAAATGACGAAGCGCCATCCTGCTTCTGCATTTGCACTCAGAATGGAGCCCAGAGCACCTTGGGGCGTGGAATTGCCTGGGGCAAGGCACACATTGAGAGCCTCTGTCTACCCAATAGGGAGTAACTTAGAGCAAGCCACAGCAGGTCTCCACAAGTCCTTTTTGTTTTTAATTTTGTATTTTAGAGGTTTGTAGTTATCGTTGTCTGTTCGGCCTTGCATTCATAAGGATGGGCTCCAGCAGCCCAAGGTCATTTCCTTTAGTTCTGACAGTGTGCTTCTCTGGCCGTGGCCGGCTGGCACTCCGGTAGAACCCAGGTGCCTTTCTCTTCAGCGCCTTTCTTTTCCACGTTGTTTTCCTTCACTCATTTCAGGAAGCCATCTCCAGTCTTAAACGGTTAATATACTCAACATGCAGATTACTACTCTTGACAGGAATCTTGCCCGGTGCTGGTGGCACACACCTTTGATCCCAGCACATGGGAGGCAGAGGCAGGTGGATCTCTGAGTTTGATGCCAGCCTGGTCTACAGAGTGAGTTCTGGGACAGCCAAAAGCTACACAGAGAAACCTTGTCTCGAAAAACAAACCAACACATACCTTGCCCTTAATTTTCTTGTTTGCAACAGTGCCAGCAGCATTCGGAGTAATGGCATACACTCTTCCAGTTTTGCCATGGTAACATTTACAGGGCACCCCTTCTTTTTTTTTCTTTATTAATTACACTTTATTCACTTTGTATCCCCCCTGTGGTTCTCTCCCTCCTCCCGTCCCAATCCCTCCCTTCCTCCACCCTCTGCATGCATGCCCCTCCCCAAGTCCACTGATAGTGGAGGACTTCTTTTCCTTCCTTCTGATCCTAGTCAATTAGGTTTCATCAGGAGTGGCTGCATTGTCTTCTTCTGTGGCCTGGTAATGCTGCTTCCCCCTCAGGGGGAGGTAATTAAAGAACAGGCCAATCAGTTCATGTCAGAGACAAACCCTGTTCTATTACAATGGAACCCACTTGGATACTGAACTGCCATGGGCTACATCTGCGCAGGGGTCTTAGGTTATCTCCATGCATAGTCCTTGGTTGGAATAGCAGTCTCAGGAAAGACCCCTGTGCTCAGATTTTTTGGTTCTGTTGCTCTCCTTGTGGAGTTCCTGTCCTCTCCAGATCTTACTGTTTCCCACTTCTTTCCTAAGATTCCCTGCACTCTGCCCAAAGGTTGGCCATAAGTCTCAGCATCTACATTAATAGTCTGCAGGGTAGAGCCTTTCAGAGGTCCTCTGTGTCAGGCTCCTGAATTGTTTCCTCTTTTCTCCTTCTTCTGATGTCATCCTCTTTGCCTTTCTGGATAGGAATTGAGCATTTTAGCAAGAGTCCTCCCTCTTGATTAGTTTCTTTAGGTATTCATATTTTAGTAGGTTTATCCTATATTATATGTCTACATGAGTGAGTATATGCCGTGTGCATCTTTCTGCTTCTGGGATAGCTCACTCAGGATGATCTTTTCCAGATCCCACCATTTACCTGCAAATTTCATGTTTTCCTTGTATTTTATTGCTGAGTAATATTCCCTTGTGTAGATATACCACAATTTGTGCATCCATTCCTCCACCGAGGGGCATCTGGGCTGTTTCCAGCTTCTGACTATTACAAATAAGGCTGCTACAAACATGGTTGAGCAAATGTCCTTATTTTGTACTTGAGAATCTTTTGGATATATGCCTAGGAGTGGTGTAGCTGAATCTTGAGGAAACGCTATTCCTAGTTGTCTGAGAAAGCACCAGATTGCTTTCCAGAGTGGTTGTACAAGTTTTCATTCCCACCAGCAGTGGAGGAGGGTTCCCCTTTCTCCACAACCTCTCCAGCATGTGTTGTCTCTTGAGTTTTTGATCTTAGCCATTCTGTTGGGTGTAAGGTGAAATCTTAGGGTCGTTTTGATTTGCATTTCCCTGATGGCTAATGAGGTTGAGCATTTCTTTAAGTGTTTCTCTGCCATTCGATATTCCTCTGCAGAGAATTCTGTTTAGCTCTGTACCCCATTTTTTAATTGGATTACTTGATTTTTTGCTGTTTAACTTCTTTAGTTCTTTATATAAACTGGATATTAGCCCTCTGTCAGATATAGGGTTGGTGAAGATCCTTTCCCAATCTGTAGGCTGTCGTTTTGTTCTGAGGACAGTGGCCTTTGCTTTACAGAAGTTTCAGTTTCATGAGGTCCCATTTATTGATTGTTGCTCTTAGAGCCTGTGCTGTTGGTGTTCTGTTCAGGAAGTTGTCTCCTGTGCCAATGAGTTCAAGGGTATTCCCCACTTTTTCTTCTAAGCAGTTTAGTGTGTCTGGTTTTATGTTGAGGTCTTTGATCCAGTTGAACTTTAGTTTTGTGCAGGGTGATAAGTATGGATCTATTTGCATTTTTCTGCATGTAGACATCCAGTTGGACCAGTACCATTTGTTGAAGATGCTGTCTTTTTTCCATTGAATGGATTTGGCATCTTTGTCAAAAATCAGGTGTCCATAAGTGTGTGGATTTATGTCAGGGTCTTCTATTCGATTTCGTTGATCCACCAGTCTGTTTCTATGCCAGTAGCATGCAGTTTTTAGTATTGTTGCTCTATAGTACAGCTTGAGATCAGGGATGGAGATACCTCCTGAAGATCTTTTACTGTAGAGAATTGTTTTAGCAATTCTGGGATTCTTGTTGTTCCATATGAAGGTGAGAATTTTTCTTTCAAGGTCTGTAAAGAATTGTGTTGGTAATTTGATGGGAATTGCATTGAATCTGTAGATTGCTTTTGGTAAGATGGCCATTTTTTCTATATTAATCCTGCCAAGCCATGAGCATGGGAGATCTTTCCATCTTCTGATATCTTCTTCTAATTCTTTCTTCAGAGACTGGAAATTTTTTTCAAACAAGTCTTTGACTTGCTTGGTTAGGGTTATACCAAGGTACTTTATGTCCTTTGTGGCTATTGTGAAGGGTGTTGTTTCCCTAATTTCTTTCTCGGCCCTTTTGTCTTTTGTATACAGGAAGGCTACTGATTTTTTTGAGTTAATTTTGTATCCAGCCACTTTGATGAAGGTGTTAATCAGCTGTAGGAGTTCCCTGGTAGAATTTTTGGGGTCACTCAGGTATACTATCATATCACCTGCAAACAGTGATACTTTGACTTCTTCCTTTCCAATTCGTATCCCCTTGATCTCCTTCAATTGTCTTATTGCTCTAGCTAGGACTTCAAGAACAATGTTGAAGAGATATGGAGAGAGAGGGCAGCCTTGCCTTGTCCCTGATTTCAGTGGGAATGATTTAAGTTTCTCTCCATTGAGTTTGATGTTGGCTATAGGCTTGCTGTGTATTGCCTTTACTATGTTCAGGTATAGGGCACCCCTTCTTAACAGTATGCACCCCCTTGAGGTCGACTGTATCACCCATCTTATAGATGTGGCCAAAGGAACAACTCCCTGTTTTCTAACTGGCAGAGAGAACATATATAAGGTGATTCTCCTCTTTCCCCTTCTTTGCCATTTTGGTGAATTACTGGAAGATGGTTGTTCAGCCCCAAAGACTATTTGCCTCACTCGCTTGGGCATGAGGCTCTGATAGTAGCCTGTGGATTCATCCTTATAGTGACTGCTGTTTGATGGATCAGCTAATTTTTTGTTTTGTTTTGATTTTAGCTTTTGTGTCCATTAGCTCTTGTCCCTCTCAACCTGACAGGCTCCATCAGCCTCATCCCTTCCCCATGAAGAAAAAGCTCAATTTTCATGGAGGTGCCTCTTTGATTATTGTAATCTTCTCTCCAAAACTGTTGCCATCCCTATTTTCTTTCCTGGTATTTAGATTTTGGATTTTCAGAATCCAAATTAAATAGCCTGGGTATGGTGGCTCCGGAACCCCAAGACCAAGTTCTCAGCATAAAGGAGATTTATTTGCCACAGAGGGACCGAGGGCAGGGAGTAAGAGATAAGGGCAGGAGATTGAGAATCGGGAGAAGAGGAAGGGAACAAGGGGGAGGAGAAAGGGGTATTTGTCCCAGAGGACAAAGGACTGCCTCTGGATAGAGAGGAGACAGGCGTAGCATATAGGAAAAGTTGCAGTTTATAAAGGTAAAGGGGAAACCCCATGTTAGGATGAGGTGTTTAATTTTAATTGAGTGTGTTAATTTAGGTTGGCCAAAGGGGGCTTTTGATTGCTGGACTTCAATACTTTGATAGCTGGACCTTGGTAGTCAGCCTCAGGTGAAGGAATTGGCTAAATAAGGGATTGGACCTTGGTGGCTAGCTTTAGGATTGTAAACTAATGGTTTTTAGAAAGGCAGAGGGAATTGGGGAGGAGGGTGCGGCCTGCCAGAGTCATGCTGGCCACACTTGAGCTGAGTCCCTTCAGCATGTGCCTTTGATCCCAGTACTTGGGAAGCAGACAGATCTCTGTGAGTTAGAAGCAAGCTTGGTCTACATAGCCAGAGTGGTTAGGATCTCATACTGCTCTCACAAGGACCAGAGTTCAATTACAAGCACCCAGCTAGTAAGACCCTGCCTCAGACAGACAGAAAGAAATACAATAAATAAGCATGAAAACAAAGACTGCTTGTTTTAGCTGCTGCCTCCCTTCACGGGAGGTTTGCCAGTCAACTGTTCTGGCCTAGGGCTGACCAAATGTATTTGAACGCCCCATCAGATAAAAAACGTTAGGCATAGACTGCCACTTTATTTGTTGGTTGTACACATGTAGAACCATCACCAGCTAAACCCTCTGGGATGCTATCTGCGCCTCAAGCAAGGTCCAGGCAGGATGATGTGTTCCTGCTTTGCAAGACATGGCACCACCTTTTACTCGCTGGTTCGTTTCTTGTCGGATCTGATTTCTTTATAGAGTAGCAGGCCAAGAAAGTGTTGCCTCTGCGTTATTAACAGTAAATTCATGAAGTGTTTTTTTTTTTTTTATCACCATCTACTTGTCATCTAAAGAATCATGTAGTTAAAAGGAAGTAGGCTCTTCCGAACATTGACCCTGTTATAGAATCTTTCAATATGCTAAAAAAAGAGAGAATAAAACCACAGTTCCTTCCAGCTCCTCCCAGTTTCCCTCAGGAGTCTCAACCCAAGCTAGGCCTTTAACCCAAGCACTTGCCTTTAATCCCAGCACTTGGGACGAAGAGGCAGGCAGATCTGGGTCGGTTCAAGGCCAGCCTTGTCTACATAGTGAGTGTCAGGATGGGCAGAGCTATATAGTGAGACTCTGGCTTGAGAAAAACCAGCAAACAAAAAGATTTCTTAAAATCCATATTGCTAGTGACACACAACCTCTGGTGATGTGGACTGAGTGAGGGTGTCAGTGTCAACCTGAATACTCATCATTAATCTTCAATTTAAAAGTAAAGAAATAGGGCCTGGCTCAGGGCTTAAAATCAAATACTGCTTGTACAAGGACCAGAGTTTGGTTGCAAACACCCTCATTGGGCGGTTCACAACTACTTAGAATTCAGCCTCTGGCCTCTGTGGGCACATGTACTCATTGGGTGCATACACACACACACACACACACACACACACACACACACACACACATACACACACACTTCAAAATAAAATAAATCCTTTTTTTTTTTTTTTTCTTTGAGACAGGGTTTCTTTGTGCAGCCTTGGCTTGCTTTGTATAGCAGGCTGGCCTTGAACTCACAGAGATCCCTCTGCCTCGGCCCCTGCTAGGATTACAGGTCTCCACCACCATGCCTGGCTATAATATAAATCTTTAAAAGTAGACAAATTGAAATCCTCATGGTTTCTTCTCCCGATGAAATGTCTTACACAGTCTCTGTGGCAGTCAACCAGTTCTGAAGACCAACGACTCACAAAGGAGCCTGTCTTCTGGAGGCTATGCGAGGACAGCGGGACAGCTGAAAGAAACTCTAGTCTTTCGCCACCACCTCAGTTTTTCCATGTGCTAGTGGCGGCCGACTAGCGGTCTCATCACCCCTTCCCTAGCTGGTGGCTTTGTACTTTGGAATATGTAACTGTGTGCCAGTGGGTTTTTTATTTGTTTGTTGTTTTTGTCACAAGCCTTGGGAAAATCCTTGGCTGAGGCTCAAACAGAAATCCAACTTTAATGTCCTGTTTATGGTCCTGTGAGCTAGACCTTAACAAGCCTTTACACTTACTCTTCTAAAATCTGGTCCGAGGTCCTCATTAGGGCAGTAGTTAGTACGGTCAGTCTTAGAAAATCCATAACCCCAGACTATTCAAAGTGCAGTTCTCAGGGAATACAAACTTCCTTCCTTCCCTTTAAAATTATTTGTCTTCATTTTCTGTTTGTTTTTAGGAAATGGGTGGCAAGAAAAACACTATGAAGTCTTAATTACCCATCACAGAGTGTAAACGTTGGTCGGGTCTTTGGTGTGGATGGCTTTGCCCTCTTTGATGCCTAACATAAAAGTGGCAGGACTCTGTCCACCAGCTTCATAAATAATGGCAATGCACCTGTGAGCTGGAGTGAGGCCCTGATAGGGATATGTTTGAGGCACTGACCTCCCCTTGGAGTGGACTCAGCTGTTTATAGCTGGATCTGATCCCTGTGTTCTGCTTCCAAAAGAATCTCTCCCTTAGTTTGCGGTTCCCTGTCATTACTGTATACTAGCTGTGCCAAAGCCTGGTCAGCGAACATTTGCCATGTTAGTTCTTTGCTTTGCTGTGTTATTTCAGGTTTGAATGTGGCCGACTTTTCTACAGTCCCCCATCACTGCAGAAGAAAAGAGAAGGAAAAAGCGGACTGTGCTCCGTTTCGGCCTAAATTCTTTATCCCCTCTTATTGTCTCCTTATTTGGCCTTTCTCTTTCTCCTGGAGTGTGATTGAGTGCCTTGGTGGGTAGATTCTGGACTAGCAAGTGTTGGCATACTTTTTAAAACTTTTATTTAAATTTCTTTTATCTTTTTTCTCCCTACTCCACCCCAATCCTTTCCAACAGCCCAACACCAGGTAGGACAGAGAAAGGGAGAGGGGGTGTTAGTTCTCTTAGCTGCTTCCTGCTGGTTAGGGTCCTCGGGTTCTTTGGAGCCAGTCCTCGTTTCAGGAGAAATCTAACTTCTTGTCTCACAACAGCAACCAGGAGCAGCCTCGTTCTTTCTTGATGCCTCCTCACTCTGTGGTCTCTGGCATTTATTCTCTCTCCAGAGTTGTCAGATTTAAACTCTCTGCAGCTGGCAACGAGCTCTTCTTAAAGCCCACCTGAGGCAAATAGTCTGCTGCTGTGGACCGTCTGAATCAGTCCCACATCCCACACCTGGGACCAAGACAAAAACGTTTATAGCCACAAGAAAGTGTAAACTTCTATTAGGTTCCCAAGGAACAGGCTTATAATAAGCCCTTTTCTCTTGAGATAGCATGCAGCTCATTACACTTATCTCTGAAAGCCCGCGATATTATTTAACAGAAAAGAAAGGGGACTTTTGTCTCAAAGGCATAAATAATAATTATAGTTTACTTGTGTAAATTGTTTAGTATAGGCCAAGCACTGGTCCAAGTACTCTAAACATAAGGATCTTTGCATTTAAGAGAATTTTTTGCTATATAGCTCAGGCTGGCTTGGAACTTACGATCCTTGGGCATGATACTTGACTATTATGGACAAACTTTCGAATGTCGGCATTGCTTCCCAGTCATAGGGTTCTTACTGTATTTCTGGAAGCCTTGCCCTGAACAACTGCCGCAAACTGTTTGGTTGCTCTTTGTGTGTTTGTTTGTTTGTTTGTTTGTTCTTTAAACACTGGGGTTTCATGTAAATATCGATATTGTTAGAGAAGAGCGCTTCCCTTGCTAAAAACAAATCTCACCAAGGCAATGAACTGTCTGGGTCTCCTGTAAACATGAGTTTGTATCACACTGGAGATTTTATGTTCTTGTAAAGTAGTTCCTCTTGTAGGGAAGGAAAATTCCCTGGTTTTCCCATTAGCCAAAGATGCTGCCTTCCCAAGCAGTGGAATCTCTTGCGCATCAGCATAGGTTTCATTGTCTGCTGGTCACTAGTTTGGCGGGATGGGGAGTTTAGCCAACTGTTAATTGCAGCTAACTCCATCGTCATCTTTCTCCTCCACAGAGAAGCCTGTGCTTCAGAGCAGGCACTCTTTAGATGGCTCCAAATTAACGGAGAAGGTTGAAACTGCTCAGCCACTGTGGATAACATTGGCACTGCAAAAGCAAAAGGGATTTCGTGAGCAGCAGGCAACTCGAGAGGAGAGGAAGCAAGCCCGGGAGGCCAAACAAACAGAAAAGATCTCCAAAGAAACGGTGAGCGGCCCACTCTGCCTTCAGCGTTGCTGTCCTGAACTTCGCTCTCTTCTCAGTCAGGGGATTTGTTTTTAAGAAGTAACTGGAGGTGCTGTTTACAGAGGGCAGGGAAGCAAATACATTGGCGACCTTTTAAATCAAGACAGCTTTTTCTCAGTATAAAATTTAATTTGGTTTCATTGTGCTTCTAGGTGACCCTGATTTGGCAGAATCTTAAGAGTATGTGTTTTCAGCTACAGCTCACACAGCGGTTTCAGGAGTGTTCCTGCCCCCAGTCTGAGGTGGCACTTCCCATGCTTGGAATGGCTTGAAGTCAATCACGGTCCAGAAATGTTAAGTGGAAAATCCCAGGAATAACAATTCATAGACTTAGGTTGCCGTTTTGTGTGCCGACACCTCCTGTCCTACTCCATAGGGCATGGATACTCTTTGTCAGTATCTACACTATACGTGCCAAGTGCCAATTAATCACCTGCTGGCCATTTTTGGTTGTCAGATCCACTGCCATAGGGTCCCAGTGTTGGTGTCCATCCTATTTTACCTAAGAATGGCCCCAAGCTGTGATGGTAATGAAATTGGAGATTGACAAATGCTAGGAAGCTGTAAAGTTCTTCCTGAGGTGAAAATTCTTGACTTAAAAGGAAGGAGAGTCAATCATGAGCTGAAGTGGTTGAAATCTAAGGTAAGAACAAAACAGAGGGAGATGCAAATCAAAACAACCCTGAGATTTCACCTTACACCCATCAGAATGGCTAAGATCAAAAACTCAAGGGACAACATGCTGGAGAAGAGGTAGAGAAGGGGATGTAAACTTGTACAGCCACCTTGGAAATCAACCTGGCATTTACTCAGAAAATTAGGAATAGTGCTACCTCAAGATCCAGCCATACCACTCCTAGGCATATACCCAAAATATGCGCAAGTGTACAACAAGGACCTTTGCTCAACCATGTTAGTAGCAGCTTTATTCATAATAGCCAGAATCTGGAAACAACCCAGCTGTCCCTCAACGGAGTAATGGATACAGAAATTGTGGTATATTTACTCAATGGAATGCTTCTCAGTTATTAAAAACAAGGAAATCATGAAATTTGCAGGCAAATGGTGGGAACTAGAAAAGATCATCCTGAGTGAGGCAACCCAGAAGCAGAAAGACACACGATATATACACACTTATAAGTGGATATTAGACATATAATGTAGGATGAACACACTGAAATCTATAGTCCTAAAGAAGCTAAGCAACAAGGAGGACCCTAGGAAGAGGCTCAATCCTCATTCAGAAAGGCAAACAGGATGGACATTGGAAGCAGGAGAAAACAGGGAACAGGACAGGACAGGAGCCTACCACAGAGGGCCTCTGAAAGACTCTACCTAGCAGGGTATCAAAGCAGATGCTGAGACTCATAGCCAAACTTTGGGCAGAGTGCAGGGAATCTTATGAAAGAAGGGAGAGATGGAAAGACCTGGAGGGGACAGGAGCTCCACAAGGAGAGCAACAGAACCAAAAAATCTAGGCTCAGGGGTCTTTACAAAGACCGATACTCCAACCAAGGACCATGGTCTTGGAGATAACCTAGACCCTTTGTTCAGATGTAGCCCATGGCACTCAGTGTCCAAGTGGGTACCCTAGTAAGGGGAGTAGAGACTGTCTTTGACATGAACTCAGTAGCTGGCTCTTTGATCACCTCCTTCTGATGGGGGAGCAGCCTTACCAGGAAACAAGAGAAAGACAATGCAGCCAGTACTGATGGGACCTGATAGACTAGGGTCAGAGGGAAGGGGAGGAGGACCTCCCCTATCAGTGGACTGAGGGAGGGCCATGGGAGGAGAAGATGAAGGGAGGGTGTAATTGAGAGGGGACAAGGGAGGGGCTACAGCTGGGATACAAAGTGAATAAACTGTAATAATAAACATTTTTTTTTTTTTTTTTAAAGAATGAAACAGAACAACCAGGCTTTAGTTCTCTCTGGTTCCAGAGCTCCCACGAGGGTCTTAGATTATATCCCTCTTGGAGAAGGGAAACTGCTATCTGTGGGAGATAGGGAAGCAGTTTGTACAGTGGGCAGAGTGTGTGATTAATTTTATAATCATCTTGATGGGGCTCTTCATCCTTGGTACACGTCACTGAGTCCTCATTGGAGTCCTGTTTTGAACCCGCTGCTCCCAAGTGCAGCCCAGTCCCTCGCTGGGGTGCAGAGGTTAGGGGTGAGAAGTCATGCACTGATAACATGCTTTCCCCGTCATTCCCAACCCAGGCCAGCGTCAGCCCACAGCCCGGAAGCAGCCGAGTGAGCAGACCCGGTTCCCTGCACAGGTCCACCGCTCCATCAGAAGAGAAAAAGCCGGAAACTGCAGTGTCCAGGCTCCAGCGCAGAGAGCAGCTGAAAAAGGCCAACACCCTTCCCACATCCGTGACAGGTAGAGTGCTTGCCTGTAGTTACAGCTTTTACTTCCTACCATGTGGCGACTGCCACAGCATCTTAGACGTCACAGAGCACAGGCCCTCTGCAGACCCAGTCTAATGCTGATGCGGACACCAGGAATTCCCCCGCTCTCAGCAGAGAGGCAGTAAGACGCTTTAACAGTCAGCTCTCTTTAGCTGGGTACAGAGACCTTTGGTTTGTAGCCTTCACTCTCTTCCATGGCATTAGTCCTTCAACTGTGGCTGATTTGAAGCTGCTAATGTGATACCAACTGGCTTGCAGGGACAACAGGAGTCATCACCAGTCCCTTGAGGGCTGCCCATCATCATCCAGTTTTATTTATTATTTATCCTTTTCTTTACCTGCTAGCGAGGAAGAGTATATGCCAGAACATTTAAACAAAGGAAGAGGTGTATAAACAGGATCGGGGAAGGCAAGGGGTAAAGTTGAGGTAAAATTGAAGCGGAGCGAGTCTGGGCTTTGAAGTAGACCCCAGGGTCCTGTCATCTGAAATGACAAAGTCCAGATAAGTGTGTGAAAGCCGCCACCACCGCCTGCACAACTGTGTGGAGGTTGAAAGTGGAAGCTGCCTCCACTTCCTGGTGGCTTTTCTGTCCTGGTGACCCCCCCCCCCCCCAGCGCAGATGGCCAGCCATTCCCACTGATGTGACTCTAGAGTAGATTTCTGATGGTCTGAAACAAGACAGAGTTTTCTCAGCACCGTGACCTTGGTGCTAATTTCCAACAGGCACCTTTCTTTGTTTATGACACTTGAAATACCTTAAAAATAAAATGACCCAGTGGTTGCCAACTATTTCCTTGCTCCAAATCACTCGGAGGATGGATAGTTCTGAATACACATGCTCCCAGGACTAGCGGGACATCTGCTTCCCCATGGGGCTGTACTGTTCCCAAGGATGGTATGTCTGTCTTGGTCCGTTTTCAGATGGCTAACAGAATACCCAAAGGCAGGTTAACTTCTCAAGCTGGGAGGGCCCTGTGCTAGTTCAACTTAGGTTGTAAAATGGATGGACAAGTGTGTATGAGAGGAGAGAGAAAAGGCAGGTGAGGTCACATGGTAGTGTGGGAAAATCATTAATCTACCTGTGAGGACCCCAACACCCAAGCACACACCCCTAGGCTTCTGCCTCCCACCGCTGAAGAATTCGGTGGTGCCACACTAGAGAATTAAAGTTCTTCTGTGTGGACACTGGAGAGACGCGCTCAGACCTTAGTGGTTTCTGAGTCACAGTCTGGCCTCTCCTGTGCCCTGGCTACCTGCTACCCGTGGTCTGGAAATGAATGCATGGCTACGAAAACAAGCTTCACTGCTTGGTGGTCGAGTAGGAGTGCCAGAACTACCTTGGAACACTGAGTTCTCGGACCTCTAAGTACTCTTGCATTTGCTGTCACGCGGTGGGGGCGGGGGTGGTTCTGAATGGTAGAGCGAGACCGCGAGTTTGTTTCATAATCAAGTGGAAGCTGCAGCGCTCAGGAGGTCGTTCCTTTGTTCTGTGGATTAGAAGCACAGAAGGATTGTCACACCACACGGCAGCCCTGGCTTAATAAAGCAAGCCTTTATGTCAAAATCTTGTTCTGGAGAGGGGACTGGGGAGGGGTTTGCTAATGGGTACTTAAATCTCGTGTGTACCACAGTGACCACAGCTAACAACCTACTGGACTCTTAAAATGTTGAGAGTGGATTTTCAATGTTCTTACATATAACCCTGTGAATATCAGTTAGTTAGATTTAGCCGGTGTGTATGTGTGTGTGTGAATGCCATTTCATCTGCAATAAGTATGTCTAATTCTATTAATCAAAATTGTTGTTGGCATGTGGCTCTCACTTCTTTCTCTTCTGCAGTGGAGATCTCAGACTCTGCGCCGCCAGCACCACTGGTTAAAGAGGTCACCAAGAGGTTCTCCACCCCAGACGCTGCCCCTGTGTCCACAGAACCTGCCTGGCTGGCTTTGGCCAAAAGAAAAGCAAAGGCCTGGAGCGACTGCCCACAAATTATTAAGTAAACAGTGACTTTTACCCATTTCTGTGGCCAGTTGTTGGCTCTTCTCTTGCCCTTTTTATTTATTTATTTTTTATATGAGGTAAAGAAACCAAGCTAGGGAAAAAAAGAAGCATGTTTTATAGGCTCTAAAATAATGTTTAGAAACTGAACTGGTGGTGTTCATTGTAAAGTGTATTTGCACAACCCGGGGTCCTGGTGCCTTGAGCTCCCCCTAGTTCTCAAGAGACAATTTTGTCTAAGGGACCACATGAAGCAAAATCTGCAAACGAGAGCTCCTCAGGAGAGCCTGCCATGCCCTCCATTCCATGGCCCTCACATATGCACACCCATGCACCATTTCAGAACATGTCCTTTTGCCAATCTCTCTAAGTTTTTTTGATTCTCTACTCTTCTCTCTAAAACGTTTACCCTACTGTGTTTGCATATGTAACAGTGACAGGTTCACATGTACATAAAACATGGTGTCGCCCCTCTCCTGAATGCAGGAAAAGAAAGGAAAAGCTGGTTCCCAACTCTGTGCCTATGTCTGGTTTTCGTGAATTTTCCCCACCCTAAGACCACAACAAAGCAAATCCACGTACACTCACACAACACTAGATCCCTAGTGTGCCCTGTCATACTAGTATACCCTCCTGAAAGACACATGGACCATCTGGCCTAGCTGGCTCCTAAGGAACATTTGTAGGTAATCTGGTGAAAAAAGGAAATTCTGTGTCAGACTTGTCTCCGAGCATCTCTGTGGTGGTTGATCTGGAGACTAGGTATTCAGATGTTAGTAATCTTCATGAAGAGCTAGGCTGCATTCCCAAATCCTGGGAACACAGGGCTTAGAATATATATTTTAGGAAAAACTCTTCAGATGAAATCTGATCTGACCCAAAGGTGAAGAACCTTGGGGTATGATGACTGGTGCCATCTAGCTTTTCACACTGAAGAGAAGGCTTGTCCATCCAAAGATGGAAAGTGAAACAAGAAAATAAAACATCACCCACACCAGCCATGTATGTACGATAGTTTAGGTTGCCTCCGAAATCTGCCCTTGGCCTTTTGGGGAAATGAACAAGCCAAGATGTGTAACCTATCTGTACTAAGGACTTCCAGCAGAGAATTGTCTTTCTTTACTATACTTGAATAATTATGAGTTGAATGTTCCAAAGCATTTAAAATTTAGAGCATTCACCTTGATACCTTTAAAAAAAAAGCATCTCAGAGTTTTACGTGGCCTTGTTATCATACACGTGTATACAAAGAAGGGACTTGGCAGTTTCAAAGCCACCTGTATTTGTTTATTTCTCTAGATTTGCTTTCCATGACACTAGACATACCAGCAAACGCCTACAGAGTGCTGGCACGAACTTTGTACCACATGGTGTTGGCTTATTTCCCTTCTCATGGATTCTTATAGGTGCGGTTCTTCGGCCAGTGCAGGGGGAGCCGCATCGCTGTTCCTCCCACACTGAGGTGTTTTAGAGCACCCATTATTACCTTTCCTTTGTGCTTACTCAATATGCAATGTGCTGTTACTCTGTCTCCCCTACAGGGTGGCAGGGATGCTGTTTACCATATAGAAACCATTTTCTCTCTAGAAACAATGGCTCAGCTTCATAAAGCAGCTGGCATGTGTGGTCAAGTGGATAGCCGTACTATTGCAAGTTGGATTTAGTATTATACATACTGGACCTTCAGACTGTTAAGAATCAATATAACTTTTTTTCCTTTTTTTTTTTTTACTGCTATTATAAGCAAATACTATTCCACTGCATGTTTTCCATACTAGGGTTCATTTTTCAATCTTATGTGTAGATGTTTGTTAGTTCGATGATTTCCTCACTGTTTATAACACATTTGAATGGGAATCTTTCTACCCAAAGCCCTAGAATTATAGTGCTACAGTGATTCTTCCAAATCGACTTCTTCCATCCTGCCAGCTTTGGCCAGTACCACAGTCACGGCAGAAAACAGGTACAGAAATAAGATGATTAAGAAAGAATAGGACTGGGCATGGTGGTACATGCCTTTTACCCCAGAATTTGGTAGGCAGAGGCAGGTGGATCTCTATGTGTGCAAGGCCAGTCTGGTCTACATAATGAGTTCCAGGCTAGCCAAGGGTACATAATGGAGACCCTGCCTCCAGACAAAGAAAAAAAAATAGTAGATGCGTTCATACTGACTCAGCACCACGAGCCTATACACAAGACAAGAAACAGCGTGGCTAGGAATGCCTCATCACCATCTTTAAAAGAAGAATGTACTGAGGAAAAGGCAGCCATCATACTTGCTGAAGAGTACGTTTAACATTTCATTTAACGTCACCCCAAACCTGCACTAAATACCAATCGAGTGTTATTCTGCTTTAGCTGTGTTGCACTTTTCTGAGCAACAGGCTATGGGAAAGTTCTATGAAAACAAAAAATTCAAGACTTTTTTTTTTTTTTAATGAATGACTGCTGTATTAAATACACAACCTTTTTTTTTTTTTTAACACACTTCTGGCAAGGTTGTAGATGAGTAACCTCTCTGTTCATAGACTTATCTATGGAAATAGAATTTTTTGTTTACTTTAAAAACGTCTCAAGTGCAATTGTTTCTTACAAAACATGGCTGATTACCATTAAATTCTCATTTTAGCTGGTTAACTCCAAATGTATAGTATGTATCCACCATCTCTTCTTGTGATGTTTAGTTTGCTTATTTTAAAGCAGCAACATTAGCTACAAGTGTCTTGCAATATTTTTACCAACAATAAAATTAAGTAGATACTTAATAAAAATTCCTTAGTGTGATTTTAATATTATTTTGAGATTTTGGTTGTACACAGTTTGAATGTAAAAATGTCCATTATTTAAGGGAAAAGACCTTTCAATAAAATACCGACAAGATCCTTGGCACTCATGGAATGTCCTTTGTAAGCTGAAGTTCTGACTGATTTCAGTGGCCAGCTATGAGTAATTTTTTTATTTACAGAGTTTTGGACAAATAAGAAAATTTCAAGTTGCTTTTAATGCTACTTTTATTTTTCCCAAAAATCCCAGTGGAAGACTATATGAATAAGGAAGTGCCTCTTGCCATCTCCTTAATGTGGGCTGTGGCCCAGCAGCGCCAGCTGGGGGTCACCACCTGGCTTGGCCTCTCAGAGCATATGACCTGCAAGAACAACTTGGTGAAAAACTGTGAAGTCTGCATGGGCTGCAGAGCAGGAATGACGAAAGCCCAGTGTTACCACCTGTCACATCGAAACGTGTGTGTGTGTGTGTGTGTGTGTGTGTGTGTGTGTGTGTGTGTGTGAGAGAGAGAGAAAATAGTGGTAGAGTGCTTTCCCAGCATGAACAGAGCCCTGGGTTCAAGTCCCAGCTCCAGAGGATCCACATTCTCTTCTGTTTTCTGGAGGGAATGCACACATGATACACTTACATACATGAAGGAAGAACACAAAAGGTGAAAACCTTGTCAAATTTCCAGTATAAATAGTAAATGCTGTATTCTGCTTATAACTCACAAAGTATATGCTGAGCCTTTCTTTTCCACAGAGGTCTTTAAACCCCCTGAAACCCACAAAACTACCTCAGTGTGTTAGAGTTCTCTAAAGAGTCATAGCTGGTCAGATATACTTACCTAGGTAGAAAAATGAAAGGGTGTTTACTTATTGCAAAATGTAGAACCTATTATTTCTCTGGAGAAACAACTAACAGATTCTATTAGAGAGAGAGATTAAGGAATTGGTTCATCAGGGTATGGAGAGTAGGGACTGCCACCACGGGGGTTCACACAGTAGAGACCTGCAGAACCCTTGGTGTAGTTCAAAGGCCCCAAGACCAGTGGGCTGAGAGGCAAGGGGGATATAGTAGCTGCTGCTAAGCCCCAGTCTGAAAATGTCCCGAACCAGGATCTCTGCTGTCCAAGGGCACGAAAATAAATGAGGGCCCAGCCCTCAAGAGCACACTGGTGTAGGCAGTTCTGAAATCTGAGGAGTTAGTTACAGATCCAGCGGCCACATCTACTTATACTGTCCCTTACTGACAAAGACCTTCTGTAGAGCCCCAACCAAGGTGATGCTGGGCATCACACGGCAAGGCAAAAGTGCCACCCTTAAGTACCATGGTGGGGTTATGCTTCCACCTTCTTAATAACAAAGTGGGGGTGCTTTGATGACATTCAAAGCACAGCAGCAGCCTTTGGACCAATTAAAACAAATGTTTCTACACATCCTAGTTAGGCTTACGATTGCCGTGATGAAATACCATGATCAAAAGCAAGTTGAGGTGAAAAGAGCTTACTTGGCTTCCACTTCCACAGCGCAGTTCATCACGGAGGGAAGTCAGGACAGGAACTCAAACAGGGAAGGGAACTGGAGGCAGGAGCTGATGCAGAAACCATGGAGAAATGCTGCTTGATCAGCCTGCTTACAGAAGCCAGAAACAGCAGCCCAGGGGTGGCACTACCCACAATGGGCTGACACCCCCATCATTCACTAATTAGGAAAATGTCCAACAGGCATACCTACAACCCAATCTTATGGAGGCATTTTCTCAATTGAGGTTCTCTGCTTTCAGATAACTCTAGCTGTGTCAAGCTGACATAAAATTAGCCAGCACACCAAACTAAAAGTCCTGCTAAATTTATCAGGTATTTCATCTTCTCTTCCTAGAAACGCCTGCTGCTTCTATAGGAAATAAACAGAGCTGTTCTCTACTTGAGTACTGCAGACAAATTCCTTAACCAAAATAGAATCTTTAATATAAAACCATCCACATATCTTTACAATGACATTTCCCACTGTCTCACACATTCACACTTATAAGGATGACACCTGATTATTTTCATGAGCACACAATAAATCCAGACAGTAAATATAATTATTTCTGCACCCAATAACAAGCATTGACCCCCAGACCACAGGAGAAGAGAACACTTCCCCAGGGAGTTCATACACACTCTGTAGTTCCCCACTCTGAGACTCGAGGATCCACAGTTTCCCGTCAGTAGATGCAGCTGCCAGCAGTGTTTCACTGCTATGGCTGGGATTACAGAAAGCAAACGGTGTTGAGTATACCCTGGCTGTAGTCTCAAATTTCCACTGGAGGTGACCTTCCGCACTACAGCAGTAGAGAAAGCAGTCATGAGAACCAAAATATATTTCTTGTTCTGATGCTGAGATACACGGGGATGAGAAGATTGGTCCTCCAGCAAAGAAGCGCCAAACCTGCAAAGGAGAGAGGAGCAACAGCCAGTCACCCAAATGCAATGCTTACATCTCCCGGGGCTTTTCCAAGCAGACAGAAGAGGGGTGATGGAGACCACCTAGTAACTCCATATACCAAAAGTGATGCCCATTTCTGGAAAGTAGCATTCTCACACAGCCTGCTCCAGTAGAGAAAACCAGGACAAGATACACGAGGACATTACTACAGTTAATCTGGAGCATCCTTGAGAATTCCTACTGGTATGTTCAGAGATACCATGTTTAAAGAGAAAACTGCATTAGGTCTTCAATGTATGTTATTAAAAGAATCTTGGACAAGGGCAGAACTTGGTTCCAACTCTAGCGCCAGGGGAAAAAAAAAAAGAAAGAGGGGGAAGGACAAAAACAAAACAAAACAAAAAACATGTCTTACTCAAGTTTTCCAAACAAAGCGAGAAGGAACTGGACTGAAAAGAATTTACATGTAATGATTTACAGCTTTAAACAAAATTCTGTGCATTGCCAGGTGGCGCACACCTTTAATCCCAGCATTCAAGAGGCAGAGCTATGCGAATCTGTTTTAAGGCAGCCTAGTCTACACAGTGAGTTCCAGGACAACAAGTGAGACACTATCAAAAGAAATAATATATTATGATATATATATATATATGTATAGATATACCAGATATATGGTGTGTGTGTGTGTGTGTATATATATATATATGGTATATATGGTATATATGTATATGGTATATGTATGTATATATGGTATACATAGATATGGTATATATGTAATTATAATTATATATGTGGTAGAGAATGAATGAGGAAATCACATCAAATATCAAACTCAAACCTACACACGCACACACACACACAGAGACAGAGAGAGACAGGCGGGGTCAGGGGGAGGAGAGATTCATCAGACAAGGGCTGAGACTGTAGCTCAATAACAGAATTGCCACTAATCGTGTCCCTGGGTTTAGTCTCCAGGGCTGGAGGTTGGGGCTAGGGGCAAGGTTACACACAGAACTAGATCTCCCACCTGCTCTCCCGAGTGAGTGAAGCAGAGCAAACTGCCGTCCACACAGCCGATGCAGACGAACCGCTGGCAACACCGTGGAGAAGAGAACAACGGCTTCCCACAGGAGTGCTTCCAAACTATGCTCCCAGTAGCCTGTCATGACCAAAGCAGTTGACAGCACTGAAAATCATTCTACTAATCGAGTCCCTTTAACATTTCAAAGTTAAATTTAGTTGCTGTGCGCGCACACGAGTGTGTATGTGCCACACGCACGTGTAGAGGCTGGAGGACAACCTGTGTGGATCGATGGTCTCCTTCCATCAAGTTGTCAGGCGTGGCAGCAAGTGCCTTACCTGCAGAGCCATTTTACAACAAACTAAACGTCCTCAAGCTGTCCGTGACGGCGGCACACACGGGCAGTCAGAAAATCAGTGCTTGCTTAGGAAGTTACAACACTCAGCCCAGAACACAAGATAAAGCAGCACTAACACAAAGATCTAGCTTTAGGACGGAAAAGCAATTTAAAAGGTAGGACAAATTAACAAGATCTATCCTTATGATGAACAAGAAGCTTTTTTAACTGTTGTTTTGCTTTTGTTTTTATTATTATTTAGAAAGGATCTCACTGTGCAGCCCAGGCTACCTTGGAACTCGATATGTAGGCCAGGTTAGTCTGGAACTCTCAGAAATCCTTCTGCCTCTGCTGGGATTAAAGGCATTCACCACTATGAGGGACAGACAAGAAATTCTTAACATGATTGAGAAAATCCTGTCTGAGAAGGTTAAAAACAGAGTCTGGAGAGAGGGCTCAGTGACTCAGCCACAGTTTTTCTTGAATATGACCCAGGTTTGATTCCCAGCACACACTGCAGCTGGAAACCATCTATATTCTAATTCCAGGGGATCCCATGCCCTCTACTCTTCAAGCACCAGACACATGTGTTACACAGACATACATACAGACAAAATACTTATACACATAAAAATGAGCAAATCTCTTTTAAAGGTTAAAAACAGCTGAAGAAACAAATAACAATAAAAACATGAACTCCTATTTCCTCGTTTTTCCAAATAATTTTACTCATTTTAAGTGAATTGTAGCTCATTTTTTACTCATTTTAAGTGGATTACGTTTACCTGAAAAGTACTCAAGACTTTCAAACATCACAATCAAAAATCAAGATAGGTGGGGTTGGGGATTTAGCTCAGTGGTAGAGCATTTGCCTAGCAAGTGCAAAGCCCTGGGTTCGGTCCTCATCTCTGGGGGGGGGGGGGGGGGGGGGGGAGAGACAAAATAACAAAAATCAAGATAGGTAATACAATCAACACGAGACTTTATGCCTACAGGATTTACAGCCAGGAAGAGTCCCCCGAGTGTGGCACAGTACAGATGGTATGGACGTAGGCTCAAACACAGAGAAGAAAAGAGCGTTCCTCCACACTTTAGCTTCCAGACACACTTCTTTTCCTGCAAATAAGAATCTGAATTAATTGTGTGGTGTTAGTAGTTAACAAGCCCATATATAAGACAGCTAAGTTTCCGCCTCAACTTTGTTTTGCTTTGTTCCTTTTGGTGCTGGGACTGAACCCAGAGCCTTGAACATGCTGTGCCAAGGGACAGCTGTCAGGGTCCAGAGGAATGCAGGTTTTTCTTCTCTTCTCCCCTGCCCTCCCTATTCACTCACTCAGAATCCTCCTGCCTCTGCTGCTTCGGTGCTGGGATTTCAGGCATGCACCCTATGCCAGGTAAGTTAGTGCGAAGGC